TGATGGCAGTAGCCGGTATCCAGTCTCTTTCTGGCTATGACAACAGGATCAAAATACATCAACATCACGTAGTTGTTCATCAGGCCTGTTGAAAATGCTCGCGCACTCATGTCATCCCGCCCCCGCCTTTCCTAAAGAGGAGCAACTATCGCGGTCAAGTACCTGTGGCCATTTGGGACAAAATGGGAGTGCGTTTCACCATGCTTTGCTGTTGAGATAACCTAACGCGTCGTTCTGATGTTGTGCCTGCCGCTTTTCCATTTCGGGACGCTGCGCTCGTTGCGCACGACAGAAACGACAGGGTCCCTTAGTTCGTATATGAAATGTATAGATGGTATATATAGATGCTTACTGACATATCCAGATACTTATACTACATAAAATGTGTAAGAATGCAGGCGAATCATTGTAGGGGGAAAATTCATACTCCGCCCAAATGTGCCCCTTCATTCCAAATATGTTGTATTTGTCAGTGGATGGTGCATCTTGCATTCAAAATCGATTCTAATTCATATAAATGTTATTCACGCTTCATTTGGTATCAAAATAATGGCATATGAAATGAGGAGTAGCCCTTCACACCACTCCCCAGGACCTTTCTCACTTTTCACATGAAGACCTCATCAACTCATGCCAGATATAATCATCTAGTAATATAAAGAGCCTGTTAGCGTCATATTTCACTCACCCGAAGAACAATATATTGTTCTACAGTTTGCAGGAGTGTATACTCGAACGTACATTGTAAGTAGTCATGGCATGCACATATCGCAACCAATCTTTCATAATATACTCTCAATGGATACTAAAGTAGAATAGGGACGTATGGAATGGAGTTATGAGAATCGTCACTGTGATATGGGACTGGCAGGAGGTTGGGAGGGAATTATGTCCATAATGAGAGAGGAAATCGGCTTCAATACGTACAAGATAAAAGTAAGTAGGATCTATTTACTTACTAGTTAGGTATTTGGGTCACAATATCCACAAAATCGGCATTTAGAAGGCGAAAAGCGGAGTTTTGTACTCCGCTTCAATTTCTCCCTGCCCTGTTTTCACTGCATCCTTATGTATTATATGTAGTATAAGCATCTCTATATGTCACCAAGCCTCTATATTTGCTATCTATACATTTTCTAAGCAAAAACAAGGGATACCGTTGTCGCTGTTGCGCGCAACGAGCGTAGTGTCCCAAAATGGAAATGTGGTAGGCACAATGATGGAGCGACACATTAGGTGATTTCATCAGCAAATTCTGGTGAATCCCACTACCGTTTTTTGGCGAATGGCCATAGGGAACTTGACTCCAATAGTTGCTCCTCATTAGGAAAGATGGCGTCGGGCCGATGTGAGTGCGCGAGCGTTGTCAAAAGGCCTGATGTATGAATACATGGTGCCGGCGTACTTTATCCTGTCATTGTAGCCAGAAAGAGACTGGGTACTTGCTATCCTCATCG